TGCTTGAATTTCCTCCGGCAGTAATCCGTACTCTGGCGGCCGACCCCTGTTTCGGTGACTTCTCTTCATCTCTACTTCATTGCTTTTTGAATTAAGCTCGTGGCTTAAAGAGCCGGGCTCTAACATACCCCTGCATCTCTACCAGATGTGTCACGTACGGCACGCACCTGAAGTCGACGGGCGATGCGGGCACAAAAATGCAAGACCCTTTATCTGGACTGAACTTGTGCTCCCTCAACGAAAAGCAGCAAGTACAGTTCAACGATTTCGCCGCGAGCGTGCCTGTGGTGGCGACCGACCGTCTACGAGAAAAAGGATTAAGCCCAGTCTCTCTCCGCATCTCATTTTAAAACGAGTTGCGTGAGGCCGGTAACCGCCCATCTACCCTCTATCGCAAAATCCGTTAAGACGTGCATGTCATGGCTTATATGGCAGATACCCCGAGCGAGTGCGAAGGAGGCAAGGGAAAGTGATAGGCGCTACTTATTTATTGCTAAATTCCTTACAGGCCCGAAGACATTATATAAGGGGGGTTACAGTGAATGCGGAAGTAAACTGGTAAGGAACAACTATACAATACAGGTTAATAATAACAGCATGATGTAATGTAACAAAAACTCAGCAGCACTTGAAACAAGATTACAACTTGCTGATGAAAATAAAAGCCAACCCTTCACAACATAACATAGCTCAAAAGCTAAGCAAGTAAAACACCGCAGGTCGCGGGATCGAATCCCGGCTGCGGTGGCTGCATTTTCGATGGAGGCGGAAATGTCGTAGGCCCGTGTGCTCAGATTTGGGTGCCCGCTACGGAATCCCACGTGGTCGAAATTTCCGGAGCCCTCCACTACGGCGTCTCTTACAATCATATAGTGAATTTGGGACGTTAAACCCCTCATATCTGTCAATCAGACTAGTACAACAACTTACCAACGGTGCTATATTAAAGAAACGCATTTAAAGTTTTTGCCGAAACGTGTTAGAATGACTATCAGAGGTATATTGTCGAGAAGATCATTCCACATGCGGATGGCTTGCGGTAGTGCTGAAGTGTTGAACGTGTTTGTGTTACCAAACATGCGCGTTAAGCTGAGATGATTATGCAACCTGCGTGACGTGTAAAGGGGGCGTTTAAGGTGTAAAGACGATGTTTTGTTACTGTACACGTACCTATGAAATAGCCATAACAAGGACACGTTACGGCGAACATGCAATGCTTGGAAAGAATGGTCAAGTTTAAGCTGAGTTACACCAGACTGAATGTCGTAGTTTTAGAAATGTAATGGTTGGCTCTGTTCTGAATTGCTTCCAGCATGTTAATTTGATACTGAGCAGAAGGGGACCATACAGGTGAGGCATATTCAAACTGTGGTTGTACGAAAGTAAGGTAAGACAGTTTGTGAACGTTCGATGGACAATGACGGAGGTTTTGGCGCAAATACCTTAAGGTATTGGAGGCATTAGCGCAAACAGAAGTGACGTGTTCTAGCCAGGAAATTCCTGGTGTAAGGCGGACGCCTAGATATTTCTAGAACGATGCCCGCGAAAGTATGTCATCTTGTACGTGGAATGAAAAGTCGGAGATGAAATGTTTTCATCCAAAACAAAAAACTTTGAATTTATTAGTATTTATTGTCCTAAGCCAAGCGTTACACCAGTTATAAATAGTGTTCATACCATTTTGAAGGGTGCGGTGGTCGTTTGGACAGTTTTTGGCTCTGTAGAGCTTGCAGTCATCCGCGAAGATTGTGACAATTGATGATATATTAGATAGATTATTGATGTAGATAAGGAAAAGTTATGGGCCTAAGACGCTCCCTTGTGGGACACCAGAAGAAACTTATGAAGACGGCGATGTAGAATTATTAACGGTTGTGAACTGCTTGCGGAGGGAAAGGAAAGTTTGTAGCCAGAATAAAGTGAGAGAATCTAATCGGAGGGCAGATAATTTTGAAATAAGCCGGCAATGGGCGACACGATCAAATGCTTCGGCAAAATCAAGAAATATGCAATCTGTCTGTAGGCCACTGCTTATGTTGTGATGAATGTCTGTGGTAAATTCTAATAACTGTGTTTCGCATGCCATGCCTTTTCTGAATCCGTGCTGGTTTGGGAAGGAGGATTTGTTAGTCTCGAGGTGACTGTAGACGTGGGAGGCGATTATGTGTTCGAGTAGTTTGCAACAGATGCAAGTGAGTGATATTGGGCGATAATTTTCAGGTGAATTCCTATCTCCAGATTTAAAGATAGGCACTACTTTGGCAATATCGCAGTCGTCTGGCAGTTTTACAGATGACAGCGACTTTCGAAAGATGTGGTATAATGCAATGCTTGATGTGGAAACAGTTTTTTTTAGTACTCTATAGTTGACATTATCAATACCGGCTAATGAAGATGCCTTAATCTGTTTAATGCGACACGAAATACGATCTACCGTGATTTAGATAGGCTTGATAAACCGCTGAACGATACACACTCAGCAATATTTTCAAATTTAAACAGTTCTAGTGCATACTTAAAATGTTTGGTTATCCCACAACTATCATCCTCACGTGCAAAGGGTAAGATTCACAGAACGCAGGAACAAATGAAAATACTTTGTTTACCACAGCTCATTGGAAGTAAAAGTGATGATGGCTACAGTGTATTATGCAGAAAGGACACAAAATAAAATTTTGAAAGCTCTCGCTTTGCAAGCTTCCCACACACATCATGTGCAAGAGTGCATGTAGAGTTTTTAAATTTTCGTTTAGAAACAAGGACCCGGTTTTCAGTTTTCAGTGGATTGCGGGTGACAATAACGAAGATATGTAGTGCAAAGACCAAGATTAGCCCCACCTTGTTTTACTCCGAACTACCTTGAACCGTTTCACCCGAATTGTCTTTATGGGAATCAATTTTGAAGCAACCTTTTTAAGAAATCAGCTTGCCACTTCAGGTGAGGAATACGATTAGTGTATACAATAAGGCATGAGATGACAACAACAGCCGCTTTTTACACTGTATAATTATACGCCGCCGCCTTCGGTGCCCGTAATCGCTGTCGCGTGGAAGGCGAAAGAAGTGAAATATAGAATATCCAGGAGTGAGTGGGATTTGAACCCGCCCTCTCTGCGTGATAAGGGAGTATTCTACCACAAAGCGATTGCATGGTTGAAGCTGCTTTGCAAACAAGCACTATCCAGGCTTCGTGTCAAGGAAGGAGTCACGTGAACTCAATATACTGTGACATAAGACTACAGTAACAACCGGGTAACGCACAACGGTAATTACGTAACGAGTGGGTCGTCTGAAGCATGTAATTCATTACAAAAAGCCTCAACCAAAATTATTCGTCGTCATCAGCAAGCGGATCAAAAATACGATTGTAACGCCGTACAGATGCATAGCGGCTGTTTCGCGTCGCCATAGAACGAATAGCGTTGTGAGTGCATCCCCACTTCACAAAAATTATGGCGCTTTGTGGCGCAGTGGGTGCCACACATGCTAATTTACTTGTGCTAATTTTTTTTGAAAGAGTTCACAATTGGCTATAGAGAGACCGTTCTTTCAGAATTCGCTGTGAAAAGAGTGCGCGTTCCGCGCAGTCCTGGTGTCTTTTTTTTTAGGGGCGAAGCTCCTTATAGCGGCACCCATTTGTCCCTCGTAGTCGTAGTAGTAGTCGTAGTGTGTAACCAGTCTTACATTTTGACCTCCAAGGTAGTGCCGATGAGAGATTTCCTCTGTGCGTTGTTGAACAATAAGAAATTCGCAGTGTGCGCGTTAACTAAAAGCCGACTTCTCCTGTCTCTCATTCCCTCTTAGCAGCCATTCGCATGTACATTGAGCACTATCTGACAAGAAAGGTTTGCAACGTTTTACTCGCTGGCAAACCTCCTTAGTATAAAAAGGTTTACCGAGCATTGGGCCGCAGTGCCGTGAATACAGTGAACTAGTATATACCATGAACTCGAGGTGGTTAAAGGTGGGAAGTAGACACGATGCGCAAGCCCTAAGAAAGTGTGCGTGGGCCACCTCTCGTTCAGTACTTGGAATTTCCGCATGAATGGCGGTGCATATGCGGAATATATGATGAAAAGATGCGAGATGGTGGTACTTGGAGTGTTGAATAGATGGACGAACGCACACACAGACAGATGCATGAACGGACTCACGCATGGCTGCACCAACGGATGGACGCATGGACGGACGCATGGACGGACGCATGGATGAACGCAGGGACGAACGCACAGATGGACGTGCGGACGCACGAACAGAAGACACATATGTGGACGCACGAACAGAAGACGCACGCACGGACGGGTGAATGGACGCACGGACCGTCACACAGACGGACGAAAGCAAGAACGAATGGACATACGGATGCTTCGCCCCACTCTCTATAATTCACTCCGTAAATATGCTGCCATTTTTTTTTCTATTACAACGCTTTATCTCCACTTTTTGTATAAGATTACGGGATGTTTTTTTCACTTTCCTCATATCTTCTACGTGGTAGCTCTTCAGCTTGCAAAAATAAATGCATGACACATGTTCATTTTGAATACACAACTCTTCTAAATATGAGCCACAATGGACATACCAGGAAATGCCACATGCGTCACCGGTACCCACATCTATGCACTACTTTTCGAATTAAATTCACGGCAAGCAGCGCACTGACTCATTAGCTTACCTGGCAGAAGCGTCTTTTTTTCTTTTAGCAGTGGCAAAGTATTCACTATTGTAAACCATTTTACGAATCAGTTCAGGTAAAGCCATTTCAAGCGGTTAACCTTTCCATTCGTTCAATATCTTAAACAACAAAACGAACAGTGATAAAGCATGCGCATTAGCATCAAAGCGATTAACTTCTAGCGCTCGACCTTTCCTGACTTTACCAGCAGAGATATACAAAAGTAACAAAACATTCGTTCGAAAGCCGAAAATTCCGTAAGTCTTACGCAAGATGGCACGTGCATAGAAATCAATTTGTGATTCAGCTTCAGCTCGCTACTCACCGACAAAGCAGGCCACTAAAAGTGCAAGCGCCACCACGCCGTTCGTAGTTGCCGACATTGTTACCTCACGTTTCTGTCACGTCGTCCCCGCTCGTATCCTACTTTTTTCTGAGCGCCGATCCGGAACAGCGATTCATTTTAATGCCTCGCCCCCACACATGAGGAAAAAAGAAAGTGGTGCTCTTTCTTGCTACCGTAATACCACGTAACGAATAAAACTAACAAGCATAAATGGGTATATAGTGTGTGGAAGGGGTCCATAACGTCAGCAGTTGGGCTGAAAGGAGCGACCAGGTTGCGATGTTTGAAAGAAAATAGGAGAGGGTAGGTGTTTGTTCGTATGTTGGGATAACAGTTATAGATGCTCTGCAGCGACCACCAAACGGAACGACCTGAGAAAGAGTATTAAGATCTGAGAGATGGAGGGGGAGGAGATTTGAGGGGGGGGAGAGAAATTCAGCGTCTCTCACACGTGTTGCGGGACATTGCAGTTCACCTTGACCATTCGCGTTCGTTTATTGCGAGTCGTCGCGCGCTCGAAGCCTGGTTTCCTCGTCTCTTTCCTTCTCTCGGCTTTACCTCGCTGCCACGAACGACCCGACATGAAAAGAAATATAATAGAACAAAGAACCCTAAGCAAACTGTAATAAAGACGTCAATAAGCCTTTGGCTAATTTGCAGCAAATACAGACTCACGAACGCACAGAGAAAGAAAGAGAGAGCGCGGAGAGGGTTGCAGTTGACCCGCCGAGCCTTTGTTTGCGTGTTGCACGAACGGCATTGATGAGACGTCAAGCTTCTTCGCCGTGCGCCTCGGCCGTAGAGATCCACGAGCCGGGAAGTCACGTCCCCCGTTATCTTCGTAGGATTTTGCGCAACGCACAATTTAATAGACTCGAGAGTGATTGCGGATTCGCCATAGGGGGAGCTCCTGCTGTTAGTCAGAGAGGGACACTGGGAGAATAAAGAGGTCACTTGTGAGTGCCCATATCGCGATCACAGCGGTGAGGGCTAACGCAGTTCACCCGTACCTCTGGAAATCGCAGCTCTTTGCCAGGGCAAGAAGTGCTCTCTCTCCAGAAGGTGAGAGGCGCGGGCTCAAGCGGATTGTTTTCTTAAGGTTTTCAAGGAGGTGATTACTCTGGTTCTTATCGCATTGCATTACCCGACGGCTCGCACGAAGGCTAACGCCTTGCGGTCTTGTTTCCGTTGGCGCGTATGTCTGAACATAATACTTCCCTGCCTCATATATCAGCTAGTGCGTGGTCACGTAGAACTTTGTAACCACCGCAACCATAAGCATTTAAGTCTGCTCAGCAATTGGCGTGGACGCGTTCTCGAAACCGAAGATTGTAGTTGCCACTCCGGAAATGAGCAGTTGTAAAGAGCGGCAACTGGCGACCAAAGTGCGCCATAATTTGGCCCTGTTTCCGTTTTTGTTTTTAGAGCTTTTTTTAGTTTTTGCTTTCTCCACGAAAAAAATTTGGCAGGCTCTAAAAGAATACATGGAACATTGAGCTTTCTTTTTCAATGTTTTTTAACTCGAGCTTCTTGAATGCAGGATATCGGAGTTTCCTCAAGCAGTGTATTTGAATTGTGATTTTAAAAGCTGCCTTAGAATCTAGCTGTCATTAATATACAGCGAGCGGCCGCCGTGATTCGTACGGTAGTATACCGTCTTCTAGTAGTTCTGTGTCGCGTCTATTTCACTCTAAGCTTTCATTCTATGGTGTATGAGGTCGTGTTCTTTTCTAAGTTATGGTCTTATGCAAGTTTTCTTATGAACGTACCGCTGTGAACAACCGCAATAAAAGGAAACAAATATCCAAGTCTACAGTTGACGCAAACATTTTGTGTTTCTCTATGTGTCGTGAACAACAAATGAGCTCACTGCCATTATAATTGCACGGACTCGATAAAGCTTCAGCATTCCCAACCACCCACCCAGATGTGACAGTGGGCTTTGTATTAAAATTCGTAGAGATTTGAGCAAGAACACAGTTGATCCACGCCCTTTTCTTTCTAAGTGGTGTAGTGTTTACTGAGAAGCCGGCTGCTGTCTCTGTTGTGACAGCACTGTTATAACTGTGTTACTGGGGAGACTGGACTGGCACTCTCTATATAAGTAAACCTGGTAATCTTTCGTCAAAGCTTTCAATTGATTGGTCTGCAGTACATGCTCCGAGCTTTTATTCCTTCTTTTGTTGGCGTCTAATTTTCACTCCGCTTCTCTTCCCGTATTTCTTTTCCCGGTTCCTTCTCCACGATGGCACCTGAAAAGCGAGTGTTATCGAAGGCATTTCAAAAACCAGCGTGGCTCGGTGAATACTCGGCGGCCCCGCAGATGTCCCAAGTGAAAATCCCATACATTACTCGCAATTTTTCGAATTACATCATTTTTTTATTTCTCGCCATAGCGTAGCGAATACACACGGTTTTGTTTGCGGCGGTATATAGCCAATTCGTCTAAATCAGCTCTTGTGACATCAACCAATACAGTTTCTACTGTATTGTAATATGTTGGCAGTTCACCAATCACGTTTCTTGCTGGGAAAAGTTGGGGAATGTCTGTCGAGTCTATGTTACAGCTGTACACGTTATTATTTACTGGATTCCTGCGGTATAGCCTACCTGTTATATCTAACACGTGCAAAACGAACCTGCGCACAATCCAAAATATTCAAGCCCAAGCGCTGAGGATATGCCTTGGTTTACCCCGCTGCGCATCGACAGCTGAAACAATTGCCATTGCACAGGACTACTCGATCATGACGCACATCACCATTGAAACGATGCGTACGTACCTCAGGCAACATGCTAGGAATCCTTCCCACCACTTGGCAACCCTCGCTACTGAGAGGCCCCGCATGAAATTTAGTGCATTTGTCTGTGATCATCGTGCGTCGTTTACGTCAAGTTTTACGCCTGCTGAGAAACTGGTGTATCCTCCGTGGTGCCTGACACTTCCACAAGTACGTGTTTCAATTCCAGGAATACAGAAAAAATCAAGTTCGCCTTCATCAGCCCTAAAACAATTGAGCTTGAGCCATCTGCACGAAATGTACAACAACCACGTGCACATCTACACCGATGATTAAACCACAGCGTCTGGTTCTGGTGGTGCAGTGGTGACTCCAGCTAGAGGAATCATTCTGAGAATCAAACTGTCCCATGTCACTACGTCCACAGCGGCAGAACTTGCGGCTTTGCGTGGCGCCCTAGAGTACATCAAATCCCAAAGACCGAGTAAAATGACTGTGTTTTCCGACTCAAAACCAGTCCTACCGAGCATGCAGTCAGTCCTTCGACGAGGTTGCCATGAACAATTAACTTGCGAAGTTGTCAAGCTTGTTCACCACGTCACAGAAACAGGCCAAGAGGTCAAGTTTCAGTGGCTTCCTGGCCATTGTGGGATCAGTGGCAATGATTCCGCAGACAACGCGGCTCGCACATCGCACCAAGAAGAACACACCCTTCCGATTCCTTTGTCAAGGACTGACGCTGCAAAGCAACTTCGTCACCTGGCACGTAGTCTGAGTCTGCAGGAGTGGAACACACCAAGCATAAAACATACGAGACTATACCAAATAAACCCTCGACTGGAACTTCGACCTCCATCCGCACTTCGTCGACGTGAAGCTTCACTTCTTTGTCGCCTTTGGTTGGGGGTTGCCTTCACAAAAGCATATAGAACCCTCATCGGATTGACCGTCAATGCGGAATGCGTCGTCTACTGCACCAAAGAAGAAAGCGACCATCTGATATGCCATTGCCCTCAATTTGCCTCTGAAAGACAGAAGCTTACGGACGCATTGCGACAATTGGACGATCGGCCACTCTCTGTGCAGATGCTACTGGAAGACCGTCATCGCCTTTCGTTGGCTCAAAAAGCAGTCAAAGCTGTCTTGTGCTTTTTGAGGACTACAGGCCTATGTGACCACCTTTAACTTTTGTGTAGTGCCACCGCTGCATACGCGCCAGCCGATTGACTGATAATCCTCCTTTTTTTCTCTCTCTCTGTCTCTTCTCTTTCCTCTCTCTCTCTCTCATCTTTATGCCCCCTTCCTATTCCCCCAGCGTAGGGTAGCAAACCGGGCATGTGCCTTGTTAACATCCCTGCCTTCCCTCTTGTTGTTTATCCCCCCCTATCCCCCCACCAATGGAGCGGTGGCTCACCAATGGACAAGGGCTCGGTGCTAGCAAAAATTAACAGGCACCACTTTTAGGGACGAGGCTTTTTAAGGCGTGGGTCTGTCCATTTACGTACTACTACGTACTACTACGTATGTATGTACGTAGTAGTACGTAGCCACCGGTGGCACATACCCACTCTAGAATGGGTATGCGCCACAGTGGAGGCGAGATGGGAGATGGCGGCACTTGACGTGTTCTTTAGAAAGACGCATGGACAGACGGAGAGACAGACTAGCAGACGGACAGACGGATGGACAGACGCGCGGACGTACGGACGGATGGACGCACGAACAGAGAGACAGGCAGATGATTGAACGGATTCACGGATGGACGCACGGACAGACGGATGGACGCATGGATGGACGTACAGATGGTCGCGTAAACAGACGGAAGCATGGACGGACTGATGGACACTTCGCCCCTCTCATCATCATTTACTCCGTGGATATGCTGTGATTTTTTGCATCTGTTGGCCATTTTGACTCTATTGGTCGATATTGAAAAGCGGGGTTGAGGGTGCAGTACATCATCCACTGTTAGAGGTGCTAATGCTTCATTGACGATGATAGTCAGTAAGTAGTAAACGTTAGAATATTTATTGCGAAGCATTTCTTACCGAACTTCGGCGAGTTTGGCCGTATCTGTATATCCATCTTTCTAGCCGCCTATGACTTTTAGCTCACCAGTTTGGCATGCAACATTTGCCCCTGCGAGAAGACGCTTGGACACATTGTATGCTTCTGTCCAGCATACCAATCTCAACGAACGGTTATGGAAGGCAAGCTCCGTCAGCGTGATTCAAGACCGCTTTCAGAAAAAAAAGGTCCTGGGACCTTCGCCGATGGTTTCGAATACGCGCAAAGCCACAAAAGCTCCTTTGTGCTTTGCAAGGACTGCCGGACTGCAAGAACGCTTGTGAAAAAACAGCGTGAAAGCACGCTGAGTAGTATCGAGTTGTCTATTTATCTATTTCTTTATTATTCTCATTCTTTTTTTCTCTCTTTCCTTTCTATTATTTTCTATTT